AAGTTAGGCCATGTTTGATAGCCTTTATTTTCCCTAGAACTAGGAATTCATTTTCCATTTTCTTACTTTTGACTTGTTTGATGGTATAAATTTTCCATGGAAAACCATTTCTCACTTTGGTTCACACGTGCACCTTTTCTCACTTTTTGATGATTTTGTTTTCCCACCTTTTAGGTGGGTTTTTATTTTCCAGGTTTTTTTTTTTTGTAATGGAAACAAATGTCATAACCAATGGTAAAAAATAAATTCACTTTAATAGACAATTTTCATGTAAAACAAAGTCAAACAACACTAACTTTTGATAAAAAAAATGATTTTTTAGGAAACAAATTTTTTTCTCTTTTTTTTTACTTTTTGGCAATGGAAACAAATTTTATAACCAATTGTGGAAAAAATCACGTTAATGGACAATTTCCATGTAAAATAAAGCCAAACGAATAGAAAATTTAAAAATTTTCTGGGCGAAAAATTATATCAATCAAACATACTTGAAATCATCTTCCCTACAAAACATTTTCTAGGCAAATCTTTTCCCTGTAAAACATTTTCTTTCCACCCATTTTCCACCCTTGTAATCAAACGCACCCTTAATCTTTTAAAAAGAATAAATCAATACTTAGGGACAAAAACTTTACGAATCATTTTTAAAAAGAATAAAATTGTGAGTACAGAAAATATTTAACAGAAATTTTCAAAGGATTTTAAATTTCCCTCAAATGGGGATGGGTCTCTCACATGGGGACCATCCCCATGTGAATAAAAAATTGGCAAACCCCCCCACCCACGCCCACCCCTGTTGTGTGTAGTCTGTAAGTAATTCATGTACTTATAGCATCACTCTTTTAAAAATTATCGTGCGATCATCGTTAAAATATGGCCCAGTTCAAAATTCAATCTCCAATATATGTTAGAAAATAGAACTCACAAAGTTAGATATGGGAGGATTACGTGACGATTTAACGAAAATAATTGTCATTTATATAATTGAAGACCGACTCTATAATTATAAAGAAAAAAACGATTATTACTAAAACGGTCTCGTGATTAGAGATTATTTTATTTTTAGAGCTACATAAATTTTTTCCCAAGCACATAATTTATTTTTACCAAAATAATTTTATAAATATAACTATTATCGACGAACTCTTCAAACCAAATTCGATAAGTTAATGAATTAAAAAAAATTGAAAGGGTCGTTTACTCAAATCAATTTATAGGGTAATAAGCAATAGACGTCTAGATGGAATTTGTCTTAAAGCTGTTAAACTACTCTTTAAAGACGTAGACGAAGTTAATCTAAGTTTGGCACGTTTTGAAAAAACATTACTTCCATGCTAGTTTGGGTCTTTCTCTAAATTTCTTCTATCTAAAGTTGAGTTAATTTTAATGAGTAATGCTATTCATAGTCGCTCACTGCAGCAGTCGTCCTATGTGGCACATACATGACACGTAGTTATTTGATACATTCATGTGATAGTTTTTTGATCACATTAATGTATTAAATACACACTTGACATGTGTGCCGCATATGACGACTGCTTCAGTAAGCGACTTCAAATAGCATTATTCAATTTTAATTGGGAGTTGGAATAATAAAAATCAGTAGGAAACTGAGTCAACTCAATTGCCAATAATTCCCCAACTCATCTTAGACTTCAATAAAAATTCTTAATTGTTAATTAATTTTATTCAGTCTCACGTTTAGGCTTTATCTCCAACCACCCCCACCACCCCGCCACCACCAAGAGACAAAATACTCTATATGTAACAAATGGATTCGACGACGACTTTTTAGGTAGAAAAAAAATCATTGCCAGTTGCTGCCCACCACCGCCTCCGCCGCTGCATTCCAATTAACGCCCAGACACGATGGGGTGTGGGAATTTGTTCTTCACTTTAGTAATAACTTTATCAGCAGCACTGATCACTTACAACATAATCATATCTGCAAATGCATCTCTCAAGCAAGAATTCCCTGGCCCTTCGAACCCTTCATCGGGCTTATCATCATTTTCAGTGGACCCCATCATCAGGATGCCGGGGGACACGTCATCATCCGCCTCTAAGAAAACTAAGAGGCTGTTCCACACAGCAGTCACAGCCTCAGATTCAATCTACAATACTTGGCAGTGCAGGGTGATGTACTACTGGTTCAAGAAACAGAAAAATAAACCAAATTCTAAGATGGGCGGCTTCACAAGAATTTTGCACTCTGGAAAGTCTGATCGCTTCATGGATGAGATTCCCACATTTATTGCCCAGCCACTTCCCTCTGGAATGGATCAGGTTTTTGTTTTTGTTTTGTTCTTTAATGTTTGGATTATATTGGTATTGCTAAAAGTCAATTAGTGATTACTTAGAAAAATGAGCTGAATTTTGTGCTGTTTCCAAGTGGGATGTTTGTGTTGTGTGATTAATTATTTATTTTTCCTTGAATTTTTTTAACTTCATATATCTTGATTAGAATGCTTCGACTAAGCTGAAAATGTAAACTTGCAGATTCTCTAGTTTTGAACTAGTTGTGGTATAAATAGACAGTTGTTTAAGATTTAGAATTGAAAGTGCAAATTAGACTTGTTGCTTAGTTCTTACTCATTTATTGTTCCCTGGTTATTGCATTTTTGGATTAATGCCTTCGTGTTTCTGAATAATATTGGAAAGCAATATGAACTTTGGCTTAGTCCTTAAGATGACAAACACATTTGTCATAGGTGCAATCAGTACATGTATATAACGGTTTGTTGGTTGTTTATCTAGTGAGATATTCTGTGGGGGTAGTAGAGATTCGATTGGATTTGAAATGAAAATTTATTGCAGTTATGCTGATAATCATGATTGCTGCAAACAAATCAAGGCAGGGTCTTGTTGAAATCATCTGTCGTATCAAATTGTAATCAGTCAATTTGATATAAATCTCCTTTTAGTTTTCGCCATTTTAAAAACATATTCTCTCTCTCCTGCTCAGCAGAATTCAATAATAAGTTAGCTCTTTTGATAGCCATTTTATTATAGTCTTTGGAGAAATCAAGAATTCTTTGCTTTTAGATTTCCCTGTCAATTTTTAGTCCAAAAGGACTATCAGTTACTCTATATCACAGAAAGGGGTTCCTGTCTGTTGGCTACCCTAGGAGTATTTATACAGAATAGTCAACTTGATCTTTTGCATGTAAGAAACATCTTGAAGTACCAAGGATAGTTTACTTCATGTTTGTTAGTTCAAAAAAGTAATTGTGTTCCCTTTGGTAAGTTATCTCAGCTTATCTTCACTGTATTTTGCTATTTCAGGGATATATAGTCCTAAACAGACCGTGGGCATTTGTGCAGTGGCTTCAACAAGCAAACATTAAAGAAGAGTATGCTAAAACATGCTGAGAAATTTTGATTACATATTATCTAATCTTCTCATCTTTTCTGCATTCCAGTAAACTCAGTAGTCTCACGGGACTTTTACTTTGTGTAGCTACATTTTGATGGCGGAGCCGGACCACATTTTAGTCAAGCCCATCCCAAACCTATCTAGAGATGGCCTTGGAGCCGCATTCCCTTTCTTTTATATTGAGCCTAAGAAGTATGAGTCTGTACTGCGGAAGTTTTTTCCTGAGGAAAGAGGACCAATAACTAACATCGATCCCATTGGGAATTCTCCTGTCATTGTGGGGAAGGTATGCTTATATTCTCCAGCCTCATAGTTGTTGGTCGATTCTCGTTCTCTTCATTTATGTAAGACCTTTGGCACTTTTTATTAAATGATGTTAGGATGCCCTGAAAAAGATAGCCCCCACTTGGATGAATGTTTCCTTGGCAATGAAGAAGGATCCTGAGGCGGATAAAGCTTTTGGTTGGGTACTTGAGATGTAAGAAACCTTTATCTTAAGTTTATTTTTATGGGCATTAGTGAAGTTTTTGAATCTTCTTGTTCTTCCTCCTTGAAATGTAGGTATGCATATGCTGTTGCTTCAGCGTTCCACGGTGTGGGTAACATCTTGTACAAGGAATTCATGATTCAGGTTTGGTAATTGTTGCTTTCTTGTTGTCTGAAGGACATTCTATTGTTATCACTTGATGGTCGTGTAATCTTTAAGAATATCTCCTTTTCAATTATCATACAAGTGCTTTATAAATAACGTACAATCAGGCAGATGCTACTTTCCCCTCCTTTTTAGATTTTCTTTGCCTTTTCTTTTCCTCCTGTTACATCCCTAATCCATTAAATGTAAAACTACAGACTCGCTGATTTTTCAGAATACGCAGGCTTACAAATTTCTTGTAGCTTCTCACTTATGGTTTGGTGTAAATAATTATCATTCTTGTGAAATGCCAAACAGCCTCCTTGGGATACTGCAATCGGCAAGGCATACATAATTCATTATACTTATGGATGCGATTATGATATGCAGGTAGGGAAAACATTTGTGCCATTTCTTTTAGCATTAAACATTCAAAAAGATATATATATATATATATGGTCTTTTCTTCCTTTATGACTTGGTGAGAGAAGAAGATGGAAGTTTGAAATGGAACTTTTAGTTTATAAGAGGTTGAATGTATATTCAGGGCAACTTGACATACGGAAAGATTGGAGAGTGGAGATTTGACAAAAGATCATATGATAACAGCTGGCCTCCTAGGAACCTTCCATTGCCACCGCCTGGTGTCCCAGAAAGTGTGGTATGTTTTGTGCACGTCATTTTGCTCTGTAACTTCAGTGAAAATATGTGGCTTTGTTATTATAATTTTTTAGGAATTATAGTTTGTCTGAGAAGTCTAACCTTGTCAATCTAGCATTACAAAACATGTAGCTTTCAAAGTTTTATCCAATCTACCAATTTGTTAAGAAGTATAGGCACAGATAATTCTTGTTATGCCATTTAGAAAGTAGGAGGATTTAGCTCCTTGTGCTCTTAACGATTGAGGTTAGTATGCTTTGTAAATATGTAATGGCGACTCATTTGCCAAAAGAAAGCTGCAGAAAACTTGCATACTTGTTGAGAAAGATAGAACTGGGTCATCGATTATGTTTAGGAATTTGCTTACATGTTTGGGAATGTGGTTTTGCATAATCTACATAACTGTACATTGTTTTTCTTATAGTTTTCACTTCAGATTCTATGCCTTTAAACTTCTTATCAATTACTCGTTTCAGTTTGATATTGACTAATTAAAAAAATACAATACGGTAAGCCTATATTATACTTTTTGTGTTTTACTTATGACTGGTCACATCGTATGCACATATCACAAACAAGTCATTCACCATAAATTTTTTCATCTGAGACTTCCAGTTGGAAAAATGTGATATCATTTATATGCAGCATAGTGCAATGCATCTGGTTGTTATATTCTTATTTCTTGTCTGATATCTATGTGGCTATTCGAATATAAGCAAGACTTGTGCTATATATTGTCTTCGTGGTCTAGCTCATTTGTTGTCTGTACTAATGCCATTCTGTTTTTCATGTATACAACTCTTTTTCAAAACTATACTTTCAATTGACATGAGACAATGTTGGTTTTCCACCCCATATTATTCATGTGATGAGATTAAAAGCTAATCTATAATGTGGCAGGTTACTCTGGTAAAAATGGTGAATGAAGCCACTGCTAATATTCCAAATTGGGGTTCTTGAAAAGAAGTCATATTGAATATCAATGGATAAACGACGCTTTACAAGAATCATGGTGAAGGTATATGCAATTTATACTGAAAAAGATGCTGCAGATTAGATAAATTTGAGCTTACTTTTGTATTTTAGCGCACCCACTTCATGGTGTTTCAGAAAGCTTGAGGCGTAGCTGTTATGTATCTCACTTTGCTTTTTTAGATTTATTGGAACCATGTATTGCACTCATGATACTGATATATAAGAGGGACTGCCCTTGTGAGGCATGTACATTACTGGAGCCATGTCTGTTGTTTAATTGACACAATTTATCACCTATCAGTTAAATTATAGCTTTTTTTACCAGTTGCATGGATATCGAAACGATTTGCCTTTAAATGAAATTTTATTTTGTCAAACGGTTTGGCATTCTCAGATCACCTTTAATCTCAATACATGTGAATTTTGTCTAATTAGTAAGTGCATCGTTTGGAATAATACATGCACACACTGCCAAAGTTGTACTGTTTTCATGTACCAGATGATCAATTGTAGTCTTTCATTTTTAACATCTCTACCTAAACTCCCAATAAAAACTTGCGTGCACATGCGTGCATGTAGACAAATACACACGCAATGACTCACTAACACATTGAGCAAATCTATTACTACATAATGCACCTTTCCAAGAACGTGATTTATATAAGCAGTACAATGTCTGTATATTTCTCCATGCTTCTTGTTGTCTTTGAGAAACAAAGTGACTCTCTGATTTAGGTATTGTTAACAGTGGGAGGAGGTTGGGAAATTAACTTATTACTACATGATATTTGATGTAGATTAGAGGTTTAAAAATTACAGGTTATAATTGTTAATGCTCACCATAGAAGACAAATATATATATATTTGGTGGCATCAAGTGTAGAATGTCATTGTTTAAAACTATCTATTTCTTACCTTCCTTAACAAAGGATGGAAATACATGATCTTTACATAAACTTGGTCGATCGAACTACAAATTAGAAAACTCTGCAGAAAATAGACCAGAATAATCAAAGATATAATACCAAATTTCTAATATCTCAAGAAAATAACGACAAACTATCATGAATAGTAAGAGTTTACATTGAATGTATAAATTAAAAAATTTCTGTTTAAATTAACCAAAATAAAAACGAAAACTCGTAAAGCAAGTCTAGTAGCAAACATACTATGGAGCAAGAAAGAGATTCTATAGTTCTTTAGGCATCATATCAACCATTGGTAGAGTGATCAAAGTCGGTCAAGGTGCCCATCCATGCTGGTGGCAACATCCCAGTTTGCTCAATCACAGTCGTAAACAATGGTGGCAACATTCTGTAAACCCCTGCTATCTCTTTCATGGCACAATTAACACCTCCAGTTCCATCTTTAGCCTCTCCATCTCCATTCGTCCAAATGCTGATATTGGGCTGTAGTCCTGGCACACCTCCGCATTGATATTGGCCATTTCTTGAAACATTCCACCACTGATCATCAGGTAATCGGTAATCTCTAAAGGCTGCATAATTGCCTCACAATGCATCGAGAAGAGTGCATAGGTAAATTCCTTTAGCTTATGCTTTGGCTATTAGTCCTGCTGCTTCCTTCTTCTTTGCATACAATTCTCCATCTGCTACTTGTTGGCGCCTGTAAAAAGTAGCGTTTGCTTCTGCTTTCTGTGCTAGTGCTTCTTTCTCTTTTGGTACAGATATGCTTCTTCAGCTTACGTTTCTTGTAGAGATCCCAGTTTGCTTCTAGGACCTTTGTTTTCATGACGACA